AATAATAATAATAATAATAATAAAGTGTTCATATTTTAAACTGGAGGTCTGGGTCTGGGACATGAATCAAACAATAAAATGTATAAATAAATTATGAAAGAATTTGTAAGAGCATTATTTGACCTTCATATGTTTTTTTAAATAAAAAGCAACCCCTATCCATATAATTTACTTTTATAAAATGGTCCTTGTTATAAAATTTGTATAACATCTAACATTACTCAGATTTTCGTTTCTTGTTTAAACTGATCAACTTTCCCAAGATCTCTGAAAAAGTTCTGTAAAGTCAGCAAAGAGGCAACACAGACCTATAGATTATGGTCCCAAACAAACTTAAAGCATGATATTAGAGGTCTTAGCTCTGACTGGGCCTTCTGCTGAGTTCAGTCAGACAGAACCACTGTGGCTTCCCTCAGTACAAGTATGGGTAGAACTTAGAACAGATCAGTCACACTCGGCTAGCTAGAACCCCCACACATGCTCACATACACTTGAGTCTTTGTGCCCTTAAGAAAATTTCAGACTTTTAATGCTAATGTCCAGACGCATTGCTTTAGGATTAACATTCAGACTGCAGGAGACCACAAGAAGAGACTAGAAGTCCTTTCTGGTTCAAAACTTCATCTGACCATATAATAGGCCTACACAGCAACATATGTATACACAGAATTGGCACAGAACAGACTAGATAGGCTGTTGGCTCCTCACACTTTGGAAAAAAAAGTTTTAAACTCATCCTACATTGCCCTATGGATGCCTCAAATCGTATAGTTTGTTGAGAAGAGGTGTGGAAATTAATAATTGATAGTGATTGTTGTTATAATACAAAATTTATATTTGTCAAACATAACATTTATATTACATTTATACAACTGTATTGTAAATACATGTATGCCACCATTGAGCAGCTTTAAACAGTCTGTGTAAACACATATAGGCTACATTAATGGCATAATATATAGCTTTTGTTCTATTTGTGTGGTGTAAAGATGTTTTGTTGATGAAATTTTATTTGTAATAGTCTAGTTTTCTGATTGAAGTATTTGGTAAATCTAAGGCATTTGGCATAAAAGGCAATACAGACACATTTAATAATTATAGCAATGATCTTTGCAAAGGTATTTAAAAAAAAGCCCCTGGAAATCAATCACAATGGGCAAATATTGTCCCTTTATGGAAAAGTTAATTTCTGACCATGTATCAGATGATTTCCTTCAGGCAGGAGTCATACAGGGTCCCAAAGTATGTGAATGTTGTTTCATCATGAAAAATGCTCACAATTAATGATATCTAGATATCCGAAAATGTCAACACACCAGTTCCTTTTGCATTTGGTATCATTCAACAAAGTGATGAGCAGCACGGCTGCATGTGTGCGGCATCTTCACATTTACATAACAAACAAAACAAAACAATTTTGCTCTGGTTCTGGAACATTGTACGTAACGTTCAGAAGCCATAAAACTACTGATGCTCTGCAGCCACATCACAGCCAGATTCTGGGTTTCGCGGTCTCGCTCTGAGAATCATCTCCAAATACAAGAGTGCCACAGGACATTCTGTTCCCAGCTCGTGCTGTGAAAGCTCCAATCAGCGCTGAAAGAGATATCCCACAATCCTTGATCCTACTGCGCTCAAACCCAGCTTTTTGTTTTTGTATGGCATCCAAGAGTTCAAAGTGTTCCCCTCTGGTGAGACAGCAGAGAGGCTCTGTTTTGGAAAGGAATGAGTTTTTGAATCGAGTTGCCACCTGTAGTTTACACACGGAGAACGTGGCTCCCAGCTGCCAGTCGCTTTAGATCTTGTTCCGTGAATACAATGGCACAGTTTCAGCTGATCACATGGCAGGGCCACGTCTGTACAGTGCTGTTTTTCTCATAGCCTGTAAACACGGCCGTGACCCTCCCCGGATACAGCAGGGGGGCTTCTGAGGACAAGGAGAGGGCCTCCTCTCTTCTCTTTCATCACAGATTGTGCAATTGCTTTCATTCCCGAAAATGGATGGGATAATTTTTTATACATGTGACCATGCATTGTACCTTAACACGCATCAGACATGGTCTTGTTTTCTAGTAAAATGGTTATTAATTTATTTAAAATTGTATTATATAATGTAACTTGTTTTTAGAGACTATATTTATTTTTTGTTCTTTTTTTAAACATAAATTTACTCTGTAAATAAATAAATTAATAAATATGCTTAAAACAAGATGAGAAGATAAGAACATTCTATGTAATTTAAGATATGTATGTATATAACTGCTAAATGTACCTTTTTAGATATTTTACTGGGGAAAAAAATACTGATTTACAGTATGATGAAATTCCTAGACAACATTTTGGAGGGATCGCCTATTTTCCAGGCTTGTTCTGTCAGACTTAAACTGAGATATTCCTTCATGGATAATAAAAAGTGTGTGTCTTTGTGTGTTAGAGAGACTGGTGTGACTAATGTCAAAAAATGCTTTTAGCATGACCGCTTTATTGGCTTCTGTCTCAGCAGGATAATGTAGACCGAGCTGCCAATCACAGACAGGCAGATATGATTGGACCAGGTTTTCAGCAGTCAACCAATCGGAATTCACCCAGCCATCACGGTCAGTGAACTAATAATTTGCATGCACACTTCATAAATGTCTTAAAATAAGATACCCTGGCTCCAGTGTTTGTAATGACAGTATTTTTGTTTGGTCTTAATATCCAAAACAGAGGTAAAGCGCTTTTTAATAGATGTGCAACAGAATTGCTTCTAGTTTAATAACTCACACAATTAACAAGTGAGTATGTGTGTACATACTTGATTATAGGCGGGGGGTCGTCTGTCTCACACACGTGGACTTGGGTGGGGGCTGTCTGTCGTAGATGCCTTTTATAGTTGGAGACTTGCTCATTAAGTTCAAACTGGGATCTATATTCAGGCCTCTTCCGCTGTAAACACTCCAGCAGTTCAAAGGCTTGATTTGTAAAGACACAGGGTGCCACTCATTAAGCCTCCAACCTAATTGTGCCATACAAAAATACAGAGGCATGAGATTTGGAGCATGAGATTTAAGCACAATATCGCCGCAGCATGGGAGGTAGAGCCTGAAGTTTTTTTTTCTTTCTGAAAATCTGATGTTGTCATTGAAGTAAATGGAGCAGAAATTTTTCATTTAGGACTTCTCAGAGTGTGCCGAAAAAATCCTCACAGCTGTGACTACACTAAACTATTGGCTCTGATCATTTAAAGGCCCTTAGTACTTCATCATTCACTGAGTGGTGTTTGTCGACGTATATATATATATATACACACATACAGTGGGTACGGAAAGTATTCAGACCCCCTTACATTTTTCACTCTTTGTTATATTGCAGCCATTTGCTAAAATCATTTAAGTTAATTTTTTTCCTCATTAATGTACACACAGCACCCCATATTGACAGAAAAACACAGAATTGTTGACATTTTTGCAGATTTATTAAAAAAGAAAAACTGAAATATCACATGGTCCTAAGTATTCAGACCCTTTGCTCAGTATTTAGTAGAAGCACCCTTTTGATCTAATACAGCCATGAGTCTTTTTGGGAAAGATGCAACAAGTTTTTCACACCTGGATTTGGGGATCCTCTGCCATTCCTCCTTGCAGATCCTCTCCAGTTCTGTCAGGTTAGATGGTAAACATTGGTGGACAGCCATTTTTAGGTCTCTCCAGAGATGCTCAATTGGGTTTAAATGAGAAAGTCACACGATGAACCAAAGCCCATCACAAGCAGCTTTTAAATACTAACATATATAGAAGGTGCTCAGTGTCATTCACACAAACACTAAACACCATCATGGTAACACATGTGAAACTGAAATAATGCAATAAAAATGTATTTAACAACATTAGGTGTAACACACAACCCTAATATACAAAATGTAGGTTTTTTGTAAGAATGCATGATTTGTATGTATATGTGATTTTGTGTTCTGCAGAAGAAAGACTAGCAGGCATGCAGTTTTTAGTATGAGCTTTTTTTTCCGTTTAATTGATATATTTATCTAGAGATATTTTCTAGTTCTGGCCTTTAAACTGAAAGGCTGGATCGGACCACTGCAGCGTTATTCAAGGCTTTCCTTTGTTGAGGTCAGTGCGTCTCCTACACCGCATGGTTCTGATGGACCCTTGGGCAGCAATATCCAGGGCATTGCATTCTTTAGAAGAAAGAGAGGTTTTAGTGTGGTGGGCGGATGGGGCTTATAAGATTATGGAAGGTGAGGTATATGAAACTCTGATTAGATTGATGTTTCCCAAGAGCAGGCCCTGATCCCCATTATTGTTTTTCCAGATTTCCCCTCTCTCTGCTCACACTCTGCTCTCAGACTGCCAGGGGCATTTTTACCCATCATTCTCTCTTTGACTACTTTTACATGCACACCAAAAAACTGCTTATTGCAAGAAAGCCGTTTAGGACACGAAAGCTGCATATAGAAATGAAATGTACGTCATTTACTTACCCTGTCGTTTCAAACCTTTATAGCTTCCTTTCTTGTGTGGAATGAGAAAGAAGATATTTTTAAGAATGTTGGTAACTGAAGAGTTTTGGTTACCATTGACTTCTGTTAAATGCACAAAAACACATTCATGTTCCACAGATAAAAAGGAAGACGAGCAATTTTGTAATGGGGGTGAGTAAATGTTGACAGAATATAGTTTTTTCGGGTGAACTGTCCCTTTAACTCACATATACAGTGAATGCAAAACCATCAGTAAACCGTTTAGTTTACTCTGTACCTTTACTTTAGCTATCCCAAGTAAAAGCACACTCTAAAGTTGTGGCCATTTCAATTCATATGGCAGAATTCCACAGACAAAATATAGTGAAACATTAGGAATTTTGCAGGAAGGACAAGTGAGACGAAAAGTTTCCTTTCATGGCTTTTACATCGGCTTCAAATTTGTTGAGCTGTTAGCAGTTTTGTTGTGGACTATAACTTTAATGGTCACACTTTATTTTAAGGACCAATTCTCACTATTGACTAACTATCAACTACAATTTTGATACTTTTTGACACTTTTAATTATGTTCTTTTTATCTTTTTTTGGAATGTGACAGATCCCATCCCCATTTACTTTATGGTACTGTATATGTTAGAGGATCAGGATCACCCTGCATCTCCATTATCTTTCAAAAACAAAAGCCAGGTTCATATTTCTGATCCTTCTCCTACTCCTCTATATGAATCCCCCACCCTATTTATCTTCCTCCTTCATTCCTGTCCACCCCTCCTGTATGGTGCTTATATGAAGGCACTGTATTGTTTGGCCAACTTGGGAATTCTTTAGAGTGCTGACTATATCTGTGAAAAGACTACCTCCACTGCCTCCTTTCACATGTATACATCCATGTGTATTTTTTGAGGCACATATCTCCCCCCACGGGTCTTCTACGGGACGCTCCTGCCCAAGTGACTCCTCCTTTCTGCTTTTATTACGCCGTCTCTTTGTTCACTCACAATTTGCATGTTAATTGTCACCAGCTGGATGGTCTAATAGACTCAGTTGTGAACATGGTGCTATAAAAAATATGTTTTAAAACTTTTGCATTTGTCTTTAACAGTCTTTGGCATAACTGAACCAATTTAACCACTTTGTTTTTCCTCAAAAAAAAAAAGCCTCAAAAATAGATTAGCTTAATGTATTTTGTATTTTGTCACTATACCACTGAACCAAATACACTGTGGTAAATTAGCTCATGCACACCATTGCTAAAGTGAACCCATATGGAAATCACTGACATATCAGGGTGTGTTTCAAGCATCACCCTTTACTAATTGCTGGAAATCTTTTAATTAGACAAATATCAAAGGCCCTGTAAATACCTGTCCCAGATGATCCAATCATAAGTGAGGAAAACTTTTGTCTTTAACAGTCTTTGGCATAACTGAACCAATTTAACCACTCTGTTTTTCCTCAAAAAAAAAAGCCTCAAAAATAGATTAGCTTAATGTATTTTGTATTTTGTCACTATACCACTGAACCAAATACACTGTGGTAAATTAGCTCATGCACACCATTGCTAAAGTGAACCCATATGGAAATCACTGACATATCAGGGTGTGTTTCAAGCATCACCCTTTACTAATTGCTGGAAATCTTTTAATTAGACAAATATCAAAGGCCCTGTAAATACCTGTCCCAGATGATCCAATCATAAGTGAGCAGTCAAGACATATTGACATTGGTATTAACGTGTTAAAATGTGTACTGCTTTTAAGGCATAGCCAGCTATGTTTAAAAGGGTTAGTTGACCCAAAAATGACAATTTTGTCAGAATTTATGCAAATGTCATTCTAAACCCATAAGACTTTCATCTTTGGAATACAAATAAATATATATAGAGCACATCAAATAACAGCAGCTCAAACCTGCTTGATTGATGCCCAAGAACCAATGAGGTTTGTTATTATGCAAACACTGTTGAGCTTCTGTTTATTATATTTGATGTACTCTCTGTGTGTATGTTGATCAGTGTCTCTTCAGAAGATTTGTATAAAACCACTTTTGTAATTACTTTTACAATGTTTTTATCACCTTTTTGCAGCGTGAATATCAGATGAAAATCAGATGAAAGCAATTTTTTCATGTCTAAATTAATAAATAAATGGACTTTAGTCCCGTTCTTTAAATTAATTAATTCATTCATTTATTTATGTAAAAATGCTTTTTTTTCTTAATGTAGCTCCATCTACTGCCGTCTTTCTTTACACTAACACTGAATGTATTCCATCCAGTGTTTTAGTTTGATAATAATAATCTTTCTTTGTCATTTTATCCAAGAATGTGGGTCTAATTAGATTGCTTGGTGTGAGAACCTTTTTCATTAATAAGCCGAAAGAACACAGGTTAAGGTGTTTACATGCCTTAATGGGTAAGCATCAAATTGTGTCGGTTTGTTTCTGCTTATCTATCTTATGACCATTATTTTTTACTCTCTGTAGAGTGGATTATTATCAATCAACAAACAGGATGTTTATCACTCACAGCTTCAGAAGATGTTTTTACATCAACGAAAGGTGGTGTACAGATGTTACAGTGTTAAAGAAGATGTGCTGTTCTGATCTAGATGAGTTTTACTGTAGATTTGAAACTCCCAGTCTAACACCCCACACCCGCTCAGAACATCTCTCCACACAACCATCAGCACCTCCTGCAACCCCCCTCTCCCCTACTCCTACGTTTCAGATCAGTGAGGATGATGTGCGCCAGGTCTTCAGAAACGGATCCTGTTTGTGGACTTTAGCTCCGCTTTCGACACCATCATCCCAACACTCCTCCAGACCAAACTAACCCAGCTGTCTGTCCCTAGCTCTATCTGTCAATGGATCACCAGCTTTCTGACAGATAGGCAACAGCTAGTGAGAATCGCACCACCAGCACTGGCGCCCATCAGGGCTGCGTCCTCTCCCCACTGCTCTTCTCCCTCTACACCATCGACTGCACCTCTAACGACCCCTCTATCAAGCTCTTGAAGTTTGCAGATGGCACTACAGTCATCTGTCTCATCAAGGACGGAGATGAGTCTGCTTACAGACAGGAGGTTAAAGAGCTGGCTGTCTGGTGCAGTCTTAAGCTTGTAACACTATAACATAACATAGCTTGTAACACTATAACATACTTGGCAATAAAGCTCTTTCTGATTCTGATTCTGATTCTAAAGCTCCAGTCTCCATTCAGTGGAATTCCATGGAATTAAAGTCCCCATGAAATCAAAATTAAAGTTTTTTGGGTGTTAATATCAATATGTTAGTCTTAAGTTTATCTATAAGGCAGTGTGCTCCAAAACAGTGACAAAATTAGCATTTAGAAGATATAAGCATTCAAAGCTTTCAGTTCGTCAATTCCGCCAAAACGGCTCAACATTTTTTTTGATGTCACATCGTACTTCAGCTTCTCATCAAATTTTCTGTCCAATCAAATGCTCTCTAGAATCCGAAGCTCCCGCCCACTACACTATAAAATAGCTACAAATAAAATGAAGCCACGGCTGAAATCAGTCACAGAATTAGTATTTTCTGTACAGTGAATGGCACTTAGTGCACTATATAGGGGACAGGGAACGATTCAAACAGTGTAAATATGCTTTCCATTTAGGAAAAAAAGAAGTCTGGTTTCGCGCTGTGTCACGCTAACCACCGCACCGCACACACACTCTGCTCCGGTCCAGAGACACGATAGGACGGAGCGGATCACATGCGCGAGTTGGCGCAGACCACAAAATGTATCGGAGCTATTTGAATTCTACAAAGAATGCTATATTTTATAGCAATATGGATGAGATTGTGGCTGGCATACCCTGTCAAATGCGGCTTTACGGAGCTCAACGGCTCTGAACGGCTCTAGCCCAAGCTGTGATATAAACGAACACTATTGGCTATTTTAAAAAGGGGTGGGGCTGCTTGATATGTCCCGCCCTGTCTTCCTGTTTCAGTTAAAATGACGTCAACACATAGAGTAATGCTGTGCGTTTCTAAGCATTTCAGGGGACCTTTAAGTGACATGAACGTATGCGAACTTGCTCTTTAAATTACTGAGTTTATGAGTTTAGATTTAGAAGTACAGTTAGAATTAACGTTAGTGCACAGATTTAAATGGAATTATTCAGCACTAAAACAGAACTGCATCATGTTTGATGTTTCACAGAAATGTGGTTCAGAGTGCCGTTTTCTCATGCTGTTAAGCCATGTTCAATTAAAATAACCTGCCAATCACAACTCTCTCTGGAGGAATAGACCAGTTTGTCGAGTTTCAAAAGATAGTTGGGGTTCAAACAGGGGACAGTGAGCACATCCCAAACACACAATATGAAAACAAAATTGTAGCTATATTTAACAATACTAATGTTATATTTGTGTATTTTATTTTATTTTTATATAATTTATAATTCATACCCAAGACCTTTGTCCCGTTTACCCCATGGCGTGGCTTCACTCTCAACCTCCCCACTGTGCTAAAGCCTGAGTGTGTGAATATATCTCAGCTCTCCAGGATCTCTAAGTAGAGAAGGGGCTTACCTGTCTCTATTAATACATCAGCTGATCATCTGATTATCTGATGGGTTTTCAGAAAAAGGTCTTTCAGAGGGCAAAGGTACACATAGGGTGCCAAGTAAAGCACAGAAAAAAATAAATAAATAAAATAAAAATAGGTGCATATATTAGTTCAGATACGATTAATAAAGTTAATGCCTAAGAGTATGAGACTGCACTACAATATGTGAGTGTATTAAATTGCCCTCTAGTGGTGTAATCATATAATGCATCACTGAAAGTTAATAAATTGGGCATGATAGTTCCAGTCAAAGATGCCTTTTGCTTAATACTATCTTACAAACATGATACAATACCAAGTATAGTAAAATGGCTGTGGTCCATATCAATGCTCAGTGCCTGTGGACAAACAATATTTACTGTAGATCGCACAGATGGCACATTCTAAATTTGCTTGATACAACATCCTTCTAGTCAACATTTTTTGTCTGATAAAACGAAACTAATTAATTAACAGACTTGATATTTAGTATATATTATATCTGATAGTATTTAGTATGTATGATGGTTTTTTTCTTCCTGTTTCTCTCCCTGCCAGAAGATGACGTGGATCTGGAAGCTCTGGTGAATGACATGAACTCATCCTTTGAGAGTCTGTACACTTCTTGCTGTGTGCAGACAGAATCCACTCCACTGCTGCACAACGGCCAGCCGCACCGCTCCACCACCTATCAAACACAGGCTCAGCCCACCTCCCCACACCAGAGACTGCGCCGGTCCCAGCCCATGCACATCCTCGCTGTCAGGTGAAAATCCTGCACATATATACCCACACACACACACACGCACACACACTGTGGCCCCAAAAAGTATTTGGACTCTAAAGCCACATGCAATGAAAATTTTGTGAAAATTATTAAAGGGGTCATGAACTGAGAAACCAAAATTCCCTTGATCTTTTGACATATAAGAAGTTAAAGTACTATAAAAACAACAGCTTGTGGAATGTTCTAGTCTGCGATGTAATAGTGTGGACCTCCACAGAGGAAGATCACCATCACCTGCATCTACATCACTGCCTTTTTAGCCCCACCCACCCGTTCTCGCATGTAGTGTTTACATGGGAGCCGAACACGCAGGTCAACTCAGAAACGTCTCGGGTTACGCATGTAACTAGGGTTGGGAATCGAAAATTGATTCCGATTCCAGAATCGGATACTTAAGGTCAGGAATCGGATACTTGTTGTCAAATTTAAATTTCGATTCCACCTATCGAGTCCTATGCATTATTTTTCCTCATCTGTGAGGACCGGTGTAGTGCCGAAATTTGCACCCTGCCATATTATGCACCCCCTAGTATTGGTAGGTTTAGGGTTAGATGTGGGGGAGGGGTTAGGATTAGGGGTGGGGTTGGGATTAGGCAATCAGGTAACGACTTCAACGACGGGGTGCAGAATCTGGCAGGGGTGCAGAATTCGGCACAACACCGGACCTAGCGATCTGCCAGGACCTTGCTCGCTAATCTAAGCGCTCCAAAGTTTGGTTACATTTGCGATCAGAAGCCAAAAAATCGAAGTATAATATCTGTGATAGCTAAACATGTTGCAAGAGACGTGTCACCACCAACATGACAAAGCACTTTAATTTAATAGATTGTTAAAGATCACGAATGCGATTCAAACACCAACGTGATTCTATTCCTAAATTACAATGATTCGTCTGTTTCATTCCTCCACCTTTGATGTGTGCGATCAATGTTGTGATCACTTGTTGGTTCGTCCGTGCAGAGTACGATCACACCAGTGTGATTTGAACATTTAAATCAGCGTTCGCGCTGCCATTGACCTAAAGAGAGCAGCTGTCTGTCATGAATGAAACAGCTTCACAGTCTTTTCAACCACACAGTATCATTATTTCTGTTACAAACATTCAAATCACAGAAGTACTGGGATAAAAGTTTATAGTTCAGATATAAACTGTGTGTACGATGTGTATGGTAGCGATTAAAATAGAGTAAATCACCTTTTGAAAGTAATTTGACACTTGAAGATGAAGATTTATCGATTACACTGTTACGCCAGTAGGTGGCGAAAAGGGGCTGTTAAAATGTATCTGTCTTTGAATCATACAAGAGATTCGTTCAAGAGCGCTGATTCATCCAGTAATGAAACAAGTACATCTTGAGTGAGTCATTCAGTCATTCATTCATAAATTACATGTTTAGTTGTCTAATGTTTTTTTTTTCTTCAGAACTGCATGATTCTGGATAAATTGAGTTTTTTTTTTATTTTTTACCCCCAATGGAAGTAGTGGTTTTCTCTCCTTCCATTGGGGGTAAAAAAAAAAAAAAATACTCAATTTATCCAGAATCATGCAGTTCTGTTTTGCACACAAACAGCTCTTAACCCTTTATAGGGCACTCATTGAAATACTTGGAAATTCTAAGTTTCAACCCTGCAGTGTTATTGGAGGCTATTACAAAGCTTTTGAACTTTTGTGACTTAAAAAAATTTTTTTTTAATGTTGCAAATCAAGGTCAATGAAGTTACCATATATGGTTCCTTGCCAGTCTAAGGCCCCCCCCCCCCCCCAAAAAAAAGTGTATATATTTAAAATATAAGACACATATATAAAACAAAAATAAACACATACAATATACATAAACTTCATATAATATTTATTTAGGAATTGTTTTTCTTTTATTTAGGAAAATTTCTTCTTTTTCATGTGTCAAAGTCACATTTAGGCAACTATTTCTTTGACAAACTAGGTTAATTTGTTTTTTCAAAAAGTGCATATATACAAAAATATAAGGCATACATAAAATAATAAAAAGTATTTATTAAAACATTTATAAACTTAATAGTATATTTATTTAGGAAATGTTTTCATTTTTTAGGAACTTTTTTTTTTTTCACGTATCACAATTTGAGTCCAGTCACTTAGGCAACTGCTTCATGGTACACAATAAAGCAGTTGCGTTTATCATTGAGGCAAGGAGGACCTTCCAGACCCTGTAGACCATGTTTGACCTTAGTATTTTCCGCTTCCTGCTGCAGTACTTGCAGGTCTAGCTGTTGGTGTAGACAGCTGCAAAAGAAAAGTGAGTTTTTGAGTCAATATCAAGCCCACTTTTAATTATTTGTGAAAAAAATAACTAACAGTAAAGTGCAAATCTGAAAACAAAGAATATTGACATATAAAATGTAAATATATAATAAGAAGTGAAAAATAGTACTATAAGTACTGGTGATACCACTTATTTTAGCAATAATAAGTCTCACAGTAAAAAAAAAAACACCAATATATGCCATTTAAGTACAATAAAACTATTATAAGGTCATAAAACTGACCAAAATTACTCATATTTCCCTATTTATGGCTTGATAAATGGCTTAAGTTTTTCACTGGATCACTGTATAATGTTATATCAACCTGTGAAAACATTCAATGCACTATTACATACTATTGTCCTACGTTATAATGCATTATTTGTAAAAAAAAAAAATGACCTAAACATGGCTCACTAGACGCATCGGGCATATGTCTAAAAATTATCACTCTGTCGCTTGCGCTAGTTTTACCTGAACGGGACGTATGATCAAATATGATCACACCATCTTTCATGTCCAATGTTCACTAATTTCTAGAAATCCTACGCAAACAACAGCTATCTCAATGTTTAACACACCTATTCAACCATATAATGTGTGAACTTCATTAACTTACCATTGTCTTTTTTATGCTATTTCCGTATTTGTGGGAGTAGGTAGGAGTGTAAATCCGTACTTTACAAGACCCGGAAGGACGCTGAAGTTTGAAATGCCCCGGGAGACTCCTGATTGGTCAGATGCCATGGTGTCACTATCTGTGACGTAGACTGATATCTGTTGATTGGCTGGGACAAATCCATGTGCTTAAACGAGCTCATGGAGAGGCATGTAAACGCTATTGTGAATGGTCGATTAAGTTACCAAATATGGTTCTTCACCCGATAGAGTTTTTATGTAGCCTGTTGATTTTTGTTCATGGTATTCAGCTCCAATAAATGGTTTGCAAAAAAGAGACACAGGGTAAATGTTTGATATCATTATTTAATCACATTGGAATCGAAAAGAATCGGAATCGATAAGAGGAATTGGAATCGGAATTGATAAAATCCAAACGATACCCAACCCTACATGTAACCATAGTTCCCTGAGAGGGAACGAGACGCTGCGCCCCCTAGGGGGCACATTGGGGAATGCAGCTTGCAAGCTGAAGCACTGTCTGAAGCAGTGTCTGAAGCATGTGTGAAACAACGCCAATCTATTGGTCCACCTGGCCCATGACGTCATATGCGGGGTGTCCGGCAGTATAAAAGGGCACCTGCTGAATACGTCATCCACTTAGCTGTCTGAAGGAGATGTAAACAGGCAGGCCGAAGGCATGGCAAGGGGGCACAGCCTCTAGTTCCCTCTCTGGGAACCATGGTTACATGCGTAACCAGAGACGTTCCCCTTTTAGGGAACTCAACGCTGCGCCCACTAGGGGGCACATTGGTGAACAAAATCTAACGAAGCCGTGCTGAGGCGCATGCCTGTCCGTCTGGTGGGAGAGCACCAAGGAAGCTACAAACATACACCAAGCCTTTCCTCAGAAAGGGGCCATGCCACTGACGCCAAAGACCACTCACTCAACTTGGCAGAAATGGGGGAACCCGATTGATCAAAGGGAACATCCCATCCAAGTAGGAACACAGCTATCCTCAGATAAGCAATATTACCTCAGTGAGCAATATTAGCCTGGATACACAAGACCACTGAAGAGGCTGAATAGAAAGCCTCTAGAGGAACTCAAAAACCGCTACTTAAATCCCGGAGGAGAAATAGCTGCTGAGCTAGAAAATAGCTATCCTCAGATAGCTATATACTGAGGGTCTTATGAAGGCTTGTAGACCAGAAAAACAATATACAGCTAACCTAGATAGCCAGGCGAGACCTTCCTGCAAAACTGCCCAGACCACAGAAAGTGGGATAATACTTACAACCCTAGCAGGGGAGAAGCATTGTCTAGGCAAGGGCTTAGGAGACCGCTACTTAAAAACCCTAAGAAGGGGAGCAATCACAGAGCTAGCACATAGAAATCCTCAGATAGCTATGTATTCAGGAAGGGGCTACCAGAAGCAGGACTGACCGAACTACCCAGACCACAGAGAGTGGGCTATCTAATTAAACCCATAGAGGAGACAGCACTGTCTAGGTAAGGGCTCAAGAGACCACTACGTAAACTCTAAGCAGGGGCCGAGATAGATGACAGCTATCCTCAGATAGCTATCTTTTCTCCAGGAAAGGGGACCACTGCACTTGCCACTAGCAGCCAACCCCAAGGGGTGGGGGGGTTATGGGTGGCGACAGCACTGCTACCAAACAGCTATCCTCAGATAGCTATGGTCTGGAAAGAGTTAATTGCCGGTAAAAACACAGCCACAGGCTGTATTTTATATAAACCAGTCCAGCCACAACAGGGCTGGAATATAACCATCCTCAGATTGCTATAACACACGGGTCCCCAAACCGGGTCAGTCCCATAGGCTAGCGAACCATTGTGTTATTGACTGAAAACTCACAAGAGGGAGACTCAGACCATCAGTAAATGATTCACACAGAGTGAACACATAAAACACCATTAGTCCAGAATCAGAGCCTGATGTAAGCAGCGGCCAGCAACACATGGTCTTGGGGGGGAGGGGATTGGGAGAAAGATGATCAGGAAGCGCCATCCTCAGGACACGGAAGATGGCCGCGCCTCTTATCTAGCACGTTCCTGAGATACTTTTTCCCTTTGTTAGCGGTAGGCTTCCCTTGCTGACTCCTAGAGGGAGGAGGGGCGCGGTTAGTGATTCTAGCCTTTTGATCTTGTCTATGAGCCTCCGCTCTAGACCGATCATCCCCCTTAAAAAAGGATTTGGAGCATTGAGGAATGAATTTCCTGAAAGCAGCTGATTGTGCTTTTGCCTCCCTGAACTTCTCCACAACCACCTCGACGGAAGTGCCAAAGAGCCCAGTCGGCGAAAGTGGAGCGTCGAGGAGAAAGTCGTTCTCTTTCTTCCCGATGGCTGCAAGGTTGATCCACAGATGTCTCTCTGTAGCCACCATCGCCGCCATTGAATGCCCAATGGCAGCAGCAGTTTGCTTGGTGGTGCGGAGAGCTAAATCTGTGATGTGGCGCAGCTCTTCGACCGCCTCAGGTGACAAACCTCTGCCCTTATCCAAATCCTTCAGCAAGTCAGCCTGATAGGCCTGCAACACTGCCATGGTGTTCAAAGCACCACCAGTCTGACCTGCTGCCACATACACCCTGCCATTCAGGCGCGCGAGGTGGTCTGAAGCGCTACTGACCTCGCGTATCCACGCTCGGCCACACCCTCAACATTAGCATAGTCAGCATGTTGAAAGGGATGCAGCCGAAAGGAATACGATTTCCCCCAGGATTTAGATATCTCCAAGTGGAGATCTGGGAGAAACGGAAGACTCCCGGGGGCGGGACGATCAAGACCGGCCAAAAAGCGCTCATCTAGTCGGCCGCGAGCCGGTTTAGGCTTCTCACGCATCCAAACCAGATCGATCTGCTTAGTGGGCGCGATCCATCACATCCAGCATATCCCCGTATGCGCGGCTGGGAGTGGTCGATGATGACTCAGTGCTTGCACTTTCATCATCATCACCAACCACATCAACCTCTTCATCTTCGTCATTATGACTAGAAGAGCCCAGCAGCGTGCTATCAGGATCAGATGACTCCAATGAAAGAGTGTCTGGATCCCGTAGCCTGCTAGAGGTTGCGGCAGAAGTTTTGGAAAGATCCATGCATTTCTCTAACTTTTCCGCAAGCTCAACCTGCAATCCCCATGAGCTGATTCAGAGCCCTCAAGCACTGAACTCGCATGCTCCTCCCCCAGGCACATAACGCACAAGTCATGCATGTCCTCAGGTGTCAAATACCTAGGACACGGAGGCACGCACTTCTTGAAACACTCACCCGGATTGCTAGACATAGTCACACACTGCTCGCAACAGATGGCTCCTGAAGACAGCAAAGTGGATGACATATTCAGCAGGTGCCCTTTTATACTTTCGGGCACCCCGCCTATGATGTCATGGGCCAGGTGGACCAATAGATTGACGTTGTTTCACACGTGCTTCAGACACCGGTCATGCAGGCTGCATTCCCCAATTTGCCCCCTAGGGGGTGCAGTGTGGAGTTCCCTAGAAGAGGAACCAAACAATAAAGATGCTCCGAATACAAGACGCTGTGCAGTGCAAAAAAAATTAAAAAACCCGGGACAGATATTTGCCTATTCTAAAATAATGATGTTTTTGTGTGTAAAAAATCTTGATAACATTATAAGGGGACCTCAGAGAACAATACAAAATAAAAAACAGAGGCAGTTCATGACCCCTTTAAAAAAATGCTGGCAGTGGCTGTCAACTTTAAAAAAAAAAAAAAAAAACACTGGCAAGGGAAGAATTAAGAAGTCAATTGGTCTGCAGTTATAAAACAATCGATATAGAGTTCAAAATGTAATTAAACATTAATTGTTAAACATTAAGGGAACATGTTCCTAGTGACTTAATTCATACACTAAAAATCACCTTGGGATCAGTTGCTCAGAATTCACTGTGAAAACTGATCAGAAATGTGGGTAACACTTTACTTGAAGGGGTGTGCATAAGACTGACATGACACCTTCATAATCATGACATGACACATGTCATGAATATGAAGGAGGTTTTATGCATGTTTATGACAACTGTCATTAAGTGTCATTCGCTCAGTTATGTCATTTTTAATGCAAATATGACATTATTTGACCTAACCCTACCCCTACCCTTACCCCTAACCATAGCCCATAACAAAGACATCTCAAACAATGTCATCTTTGCATTAAAAATGACATAACTGAGTGAATGACACTTAATGACAGTTGTCATAAACATGCATAAAAAAACCTTCATATTCATGATATGTGTCATGTCATAATTATGTAGGTGTCATGTCATGATTATGAAGGTGTCATGTCAGTCTTATGCACACCCCTTCAAGTAAAGTGTAACCGAAATGTGAACTTAGTTAGTAAAGGTGTTAGTTTGCAGATGATACTTGCTTTGACTGAGTTATTTTACTGCAAAATTTTGACATTTTTAAATGTAGCGTGCAGTATATGTCCAAATATTTTTGGAAGTCACTTTATATACACAGCACATTTTGCTCAAAGAAATAACGAAAGCAGTGCAAATTACATTACAACTTCAACATTTTTTCCAGAACAACACTTCAGCTTGGCTTTCTTTGTCTCCATCAAGAGTGGCGCTCCTGTTATTCCATTGCTCTGTTGTACTGAAACCTCTGAGAATAAATGGTTTCCATTTGGTGAGCATGTTTTTCCCTCTCAGCTGTGGATCAGAGCAGGAAGTTGAGCATAACGAGCTCGTGAACGAGGGTTCACTCAAGCAAAGGTTCATTCAGAGGTTACCGTTCAGACTTCAGCTCTGAATTCCAAATCACACACTCCCTCATGCTCTCAAATCTAAAGCATTAATGTCTGTGTGTGTGTGTTTCAGTTTTTCTCTGAAGTCCCCACTTCAAAAGGACTCCCCGACTACTGACTTAAAAAAATGGCCCTAAATGCTAATGTTGCCCAAAGCCACCAACCATTCTATGCCGACAGTAATACCCTTGCGAGACAAGGTTCTTTGCACATTTCATGTCCGTAATATAACCCTAAATCTGAGATTTTACTTTATTTCTCCAGAAGACTTCAGGAAGAGGAGCAACAGTACCGAACGTCCTCTCTACCTGCCATCCCCAACCCCTTTCCTGAGCTCTGCAGCCCTGCGAGTTCCCCTACGCTCAGCTCTGGCTCCTTACCTCAGTGTCAGCCCTCAGGCAAATATGTAAGAGGCCCTTTGTTCTCATTCCTCTCTCTCTTGAAGGAATAGTTTACTCAAAAATTTAATTTCTTTCATTATTTACTCACCCCCTTGTCTTTCCCACCCAGTATAATTTTCTTTCTTCCATGGAACACAAAAGGATTCATTCTGAAGAATATTTGTGCAACAAATTTTCATAAAGCATTAGTTCATGCTGACTACAGTCATGCTCCAGAAACCACAAAACAGCATAAAAGTAGTCCAAAAAGAACCATAAAAGTAGTCCAAAAGAACTTCTAATGCATATGATGGCTTAGTGTCACTGGCTTCAGTTTGGTGCATCAGAGTGCTTTATTTGAATTGATTTATTCCATTGGGGGGGGGCAACTGGTGTTAGTATGGACTGTCACTTATAGAAAAATTCTTAAAAAATGCCATTCCTTCTATGTTCCATGGAGAAATTAACATCACACCGGTTTGGACCAACTTTTGGGTTGGGTAAAAAGTGACAGATGCCATGTCTGTGTGAGTTATTCCATTAATCTTTCTGTATGGTTATTTAGCGCTACTTTGAAAGGCCTCTCAAAGATTTTTTTTTAACATTTGTAAATGTTAGTGTTAGGATAACATGGTTGTTGGTGTAATTTCGAACGTGCTGAATTGCAGTTTGGTGTGGTGTATTGCTTTAACGTGTCTAGACACTGGTTTCCCAAGAAACGTGTCACTTCCTCTACAGTGTGACTCATATATTCTTACAGTAAGTCACTTACAGTAGTAATAAAAATTGATGTCCACATGTATGTCCCCTAAGACATAATCATGCCTTCATCCAAAATGAAATAAAATCTTTTTGGGAATTTATAAAGGACTTTTAGCCGTTAACGGGATAGGACAGATGGGAAGTGGCAATAAAACATTGTGAAAAGAGAAGAGGTGTGATCAGAAAATGATGGAAGACTGATTTGAACTCAAATTGCCTAAGGACCACCATGTAACTTATCTAAGCATATGCCAAATGCACCACAATGCTAGACCATGATTTTGACGTTTTTAAGATAGTCATATGTGTGATGATGTGCTGGCACCTGTATGCATTTGTTTATATTGTGCATACATTGTTTGGATCTCTGTGTGTGAGCATCTGTTGTGTGTGTGTGTGTGTACTGTATATATAGCTATCTCTGGACCCCTGGCTGTCACGTGTAAGCTGACTGAGGCCCTGATATATTCCTGGAAAGCCTCGTCATTGCTCCAGGCTAACCACCTCCATATGGGGCCATGGTCTGTTACCGTAAAACGGTCCCCATGTTACCGTAAAAATCACTACAGACATTAATCAATTACCCTAATCCCTCTCTCTTTACTTTTATTGTCCTGTGGATGGAACCCAGTAGGGGTCTAAGTGCTAGAGAAGGCTTTTGGTCTGTCCAAAAGAGAAAACAACCTGGAAGAACACCTGGAAGTCATTTAAAACAGCTGACAAATCATCAGTGACTGATGATGTCCATAAATGTTATCAAGATATGAAGCACATTGCCTGTTGTTTCTATGTGAAGTGAATGTGAATAGCAGACATTATTTTTGAATATGAGAAATGAGAACATACTTGTTGCATGGCCTGTGACTTGACATTGTGTTTACAAAGGATGTGAGCACCACGTCTCAACTTGTCAGAATGAAATCACCTCCATTCTAATTAGCCAGGGCGTGCCATTAGAAGCGCTGATTGAGGTGTATTGTTATGCTGTGTTTATATTTTTGACTTATCTGGGTCAGAGCTGGGGTGCAAACCAACATTTTTTTCTCTCTTCCATGGAAAACAAAAGTAGAAATTTCTGAAGAATATTTCAGTCAAGTCAAGCCACCTTTATTTATATAGCACTTTATACAATAGATTGTGTCAAAGCAGCGTTATAGTATCAAACAGGAAAACATTTTGTCAATAATGCAAGAGGACAATAACAAAGAGTCAGAGTTTTCCAGTTAAAGTCAATTGAATCAGTGATGTCATCATCCAGTTCAGCTCTCTTCCAATAGTGTCTGTGCAATCATTCAAGCATCCCCAACTAAGCAAGCCAAAGGCGACAGTAGCAAGGAACCAAAACTCCATCTGTGACATAAATGGAGGAAAAAAAAACATTGGGAGAAACCAGGCTCAGTCAGGGGGCCAGTTCTCCTCTGGCCATACGAAACCAGTATGGAGTGGTTTAATTCCAGGCTGCAACACAGGTCAGATTGAGCAGAGGACTTGTGACCTTGGAATAAGAATGAAACAGACTAATATTAGCATAGATGCCATTCTTCTTATGATGTGACAAGTACATCAAGTGTTATAGGAAGTGTTCCCGGTTCCGGTTGACTTAATGAATGCAACCTAACAATCTTTTAGTTTAATAGATTTGAATTATAGAAATGCGATAGTGTGTTATGTGTATGCCAGGTTAAAGAGATGGGTCTTTAATCTAGATTTAAACTGACAGAATGTGTCTGCCTCTAGAACAGTGTTAGGTAGATTGTTCCAGAGTTTGGGCGCTAAATAGGAAAATGATCTGCCAACTGCAGTTGATTTTGTTATTCTAGGTATTATCAAATTGGCAAGAGTTTTGAGATTGCAGCGGATGTGAAGGACTATAATGCGATATGAACTCGCTCAAGTACTGAGGAGCTAAACCATTCAGGGCTTTATAAGAATTTAGCAAGATTTTTAAATGTATTCGATGTTCAATAGGGAGCCAGTGTTGACAGAACTGGGCTAATGTGGTCATACTTCCTGGTTCTAGTAAGAATTTTGAACCAGCTGGAGTTTGTTTATTAAGCGCGCAGAGCAACCACCCAATAAAGCATTACAGTTATTTAACCTTGAGGTCATGAACGCATGAATTAACGTTTCTGCATTCTACAGTGACCGTTGTCTTGCTCCAAAAAACACAAAAAGACCATGAAGGTAGTGTAAAGAGAAGCCATCTGAATAATAATAACACTAAATAAATAAAATATATGTGAGTTTTTTTTGCTGTACATTTGACTTGATTATATTTATTAGCTTCTGACTATTACATCAAAGCCACCTTCTGATGTTTCTGCTTCAACTTGTGATCTACTCATTTAAATATTATTTGATTTTATGTAGATGTGTGTAGTCAAATGTCATTGCATTTAAAAAAAATATATGAAAAATTTTGATTTTCATAGCTCCAACTCACAGCCAATAGTCTTGTGCATAATCAGGGAACTTCCTATGGTAATGTGCAGCTTGGTATTTCCACTGAAATAAGGCCTCAAGGACATTGCATCTTGATGCAACATTGGTTGCTTTCAGTGTAGACGTGATGTAAGGCAGTAGAGCTGGTCTGAGAAAGAGTGGCAGATTTTGAAGTCAATTAATGGCATTTGTTTTGAGAAAAGCCATGTCTCACCACATGTGTGGAATTTGGCACATTTGTTTCTTTTTCACTATTCACATCTATTTATGACTTTGTGTTTTATTTATGCCAAAGTAGTATTTTTTCATTCACTGACTCACAATAAATCACCTCTTCACAAAAATAAGGGAACATTCCCCACAACATTTGAGAATCAGACAGTGTCAAATTTAATTTTTTTAAATGTTGTACATTGTTACATAATAATAAAAAATATACTTAATATACCTTTATACAAATATACTAATATAGGCCCCTTTGAAGGCACTCAATGACACCTTACAGCAAAAAGCAAATAAATAAAATACAAAACAATACAAAAACACTTTAAGTGTGAAGTTTCTTTTTTTCTGAAGACATTTTGAAGAATGTGTTTAACCAGACCATTGATGGTTGTCACGCCATGGACTGGTTTGTGTTTGTTTTCCTCCCCCACATGCTCCATGTCCAAGTTTTTCCCTCATGTCTGATTATGTTATTGATTCCAGGTGTTTCTTGTTAATTTTCTTGTTTAGTTCCCTATTTAAGCCCTATGTTTTCCTGAGTCCTTCATCCTGTCTTAGATCGTCCTAGGTTCCTGTGCTACATGTGAATAAAGTCTGTATTTTGTGAATTCCGTTCCTACACAGTAGGCAGTACTGTAACAGTAGGGCATTTCGCACCGCTTTAGTTTCAGAACTAAATGTACAGTACTAAAGTACTGGGACGATTTTGCGCGAACTATTTCCCAGTACCATTTAAAGGATTGCATTCGCACCGACAGTGTGTACTAAGAAGTGACGTCATTTGTGCACGGCGTTCAACAACAGACACAAAGAAGAACAACATTAACAACAGGATCCATTCCCCCCCCCCCCCCCATACTGTGGATGTCAAAGGGGACCATCAAATATTTGGTTACCCATATTCTTCAAAATATCTTATTTTATGTTTGACAGCAGAAAGAAACTCATATAGAATTGGAACAATTTGAGGGTAAGTAAGTGATGACACTTCATTTTTGGGGGTAAACTATCCCTATAATTACATCTTTATATGTAATTTCATAGTTACATCTTTTGTCTTTGAAATATGACTAAAATGTCTTGCTGGACAACTAAATTTAAATTTAGTTATGGTTAACTAAAATATACTTTAATGCCATTTCTATTCAAACTTGTTATGCCATGTATTTAAATATATTTGTAACTAAACATTTGAATTGATGTACAATTTAGCACATTTAAAATATATTAACTTTAAATGTAAAATCAAATAGCATACTACAGTTAAAAATGAAAACAGGTGCTTTACATGTGCTTTAGTATGTTTGTCAACTCATCAAAATAAGTGTATCTCTTTAAATCATAAATCATAATGATTAAAACTGTACATCAAAGTAGAACTTCACATTTATAAATTGCACTTATTAAAAGTCTACTTAAGTGTTTTGAGAATCAGTCATGAAGGTGTACTATCTTTAAGTAACCTTTATTTCATTAAAGGGGTCATATGATGCGATTTCAATTTTTCCTTTCTCTTTGGAGTGTTACAAGCTCTTGGTGTATAAAGAAGATCTGTAAAGTTGCAGAGACTAAAGTCTCAAAACCAAAGAGATATTCT